TAAAAGTGAAGAGATGTCCACTAGATTGTTTCTATTCTTGGCGATACATAATAGTTTAGAATTCTTTAGAATACTTCCTACATAACAAATATAGTACTTACGTCTTGTTCAACAAATACTATTGAAGACAGTTCAGATATTTCATGACTACTTTGGAACCCTGTTCAACCAGTCGGCACATTTTTACAGAGGAATGCTTTGAATGATGCAGGTTTTTCATAACTGGATAGTCTTTGATACTTTATTTTTTTCTCTGTTATGTTTCTTCTGTCACCTAAGAATAAAAGAATGATTGCTCCTTTGCAAACTCTAGTTCTACGTACATTGTATTCATTCTTCACTGCTAGTCATAGTTTAATCAGATATAGTGCTTCCATTGTGCATTGATGAACATCTCCTTGTCTTCGTGGATCACTTACAATACACGTCAGTAGTTCAGTTTCTTTCATGGGGTGTGAAACTTGTTAGTGTATTTGTAGTGAAAAAATTAAACTGTATGTTAAGCTGAAATGTATGGAAGCCCAGAGAGGCCATGTATTTTTAATGTTTTTCTGATTTGCTGTCTGGAAAAACAACTTGTTTTCTCCAGCAAATAAGTTGTTTTCTTAAGATAACATTTCAGAAAAAATATTAAAACTAAACAACCTCTCTAGGCTTCTGTAGAAATTAGATTTTATGTACTTTTTACTGTTTATACAGTACACTTCAAACTTAAAAATATAAGTTGTTGTGATCTCAAATTTCTTTTCAAAAGGTTCCAAGAGAAGATACTCAACTAACCACGTCATTAATGCTGTTGTGTTCTGCAGTGTTCAGATGGCCCTCTAAGAAGGTAAAAGACCCAGCCACAACTATGAAGATCACATCTTATTTTTCCTTCATGAAATGTAACAGTTGGCACTATGCAGTCAAAAGACAATGTTCTCTTTACATGCGCCAAACCCATAATCCATAACACTACCAGTGAATAACATGTGGGTCGTCATTTCAAGCAACATACAAGGTCTGTCCAGAAAAAGTCCAGACATTGTTAATATAACGAGAATGGTTTGCGCAAAATTAATGTCACCTAGTAGCTAAGACGAGTGGACTGGACTGCACATGTGTGAACAATAACAACTTCACTGTGCTTGTCAGTGGGGATGGTAAACGCCATGGAGTGAGCATGTGTACTATGTGGCTGCCACATTCAAAATGAATGCAACGAATCTGCATAGCATTTTGCGTTAAGCTTGAACATTTCTGCATTCCTCCATTTTCATTTCAACTTTCAATTTATTCATATTCTTAACCATAAAGCCTATTTCTTCAGTTACCTGATGAACAGATTTGTACTGTATAGTTTGGAGGTTTGAAACTCATGATTATTATGCACAATAAAATGCCTTTCTAGCACTTCTCCTGGTTTTTGCTGTTGACAGTGTGTGTCACCCTAATTTCTGTTGGGCCTTGGGGCTGACAAAAAGGTACCATCCACCACCAACACCAGTTACCCATCTCTTCAGCATTAGGACACAAGTCATATCCAGAAAACACAATATAACCAGCAAGTGCCAACCTGTTCCAGTCACTTAGGCAGTAATCTGCTGGCTTTAATGAATTACCCTCAGTCATCAGCCCAAATACCCACCAACATGTGGATATAAGGCTGGTGGCACTGAAATGAAAATGCTCACCATACCTACAGCATGCATATGTAAGGGGAAAAAAAACCAAGTAAACTTATTTTAGGCTTTCTTTAAATACTGTATGCAAAATGCAAAACAAATACATTGCAAAATCTGCCAAATATTATTAATGGAATTTCAACTTAAACGTCAAGCATGGTGACATAAAATATTTATAATTTTTTTTTTTTTTTACTGGAAATCACTGACTTTACTGTTTCATTGTTGTACCAGTAGAAAAGGAGTTAACCCGAGTCACTTTGCCCAGTACCACCCTCTACAGATAAAGCTGCTGTGCAAATGCTCAGTAAAATAACTTTGATCCTTCTTCCACCATAAACCCTGAGGTTCTATTTACTTGACCTGCATTAGTATATAGCCTTGTAAAAAGAAAATCTTAAGCAGCAGAAATGACTAAAAGGAATCCAGTGTTTCAGCTCAAGGCTGAAAGAGATCAGGAGTTGATAAAGTTAACACATGCCTACAGCATTAGTACAATGCATTCATGCTACATGTTTACACAGTGCGGAAAGGAGACCTCATGTCAAATATTCCTCGAAAGTAAGAAAATAAGACAACTGTTTCTAAGGAATGCCATACAGAAAGGTGCATTCACCATACACAAATTATGCACTATACATGAAGTTCTGTTTGATAAAATTCAAACAGATGAATACTAATACTGTTTTGCAATAGTGGTTAGATTATAAACACTATTGAACAAATAACGCTTTCTAAACGTGCCCATGAAACAAATCTGTCCCTTTAGTTTTCGCATACTATTGCTAGGTCTTATGGTGTAAAAGGTGAAAGCATTCAATTTGTAGGACCACATAAAAGAATTATTTCTTGTCCAATCAACTGAAAACAGGATAGCGCCTAGATATTCGGTGGCCCTATACGACTATAGGCAAGTCAGGTTTACTTGCCTTAGTTTTTGCATTTAGATTTAATTTGCAAAAACATAAAGTTTCAGGCTGGGGGATTAAGACAAAGCTTGGCAGACAGGATATTAGGGGGGACAAAATGACACATGGCTAGTGGGACAGGGTGACAAGGGATTAGAGTAACAAAGTGACACTGAGCAAGTAGGACAGAATGGCATTGGGTTAGGGATACATGGTATTAGGGATATAGAGTGACAGGGAAGACAAAGTGACACAGGCCTGGAGAAAAATAGTGACACAGGGCTACGGTGTCAGCTATTAGGGAGACAGTGTAATAGGGAGTTAGGGAGAGGGCGAGGGAGTGACTCTCAGACAGAGTGACACAGGGCTAGAGGGACAAAGTGACACAGGGCTAGGAGGACAGGGGATTAGGGGACAGGGCTGCCTAAACAGTAGCCCTTTGTCACCTGTCCCCCTAATCCCCTGTCAGAGCTATATGGGTACAGAGTAAAATACGGCTAGAGGAATGGGGCATTGGGGGATTAATTGAAATATTTAAAATTCCTAAAATGCTGCTCTCCGTATATTCCCACTGGTGATGCTGCCGGGTCCAAATAGCTATGTCTTATCAAATGCAACAGTGGGCATGAGTTCAGTACAGCTAGGACAGCCTGTGAGTTGGATGCAGAGAGTAGGAAATTGTGCCCTATAGACGTCACAGACGTCTACAGTCTCTGCTGTCATATTGGAGCAGAACGGAATGGGCAACAGGGAAGCAGGCCATGGGCAGTTTACATTTTTCAAAATGGAGTTTCAAGCCAAGGGCCCAGGATTCAGATTTTTACGTCCCCTGCCAGGGTGCCTTAAGGTGGTCGCCTGTGCCTCTCTATGCACTGGCCCCGAGTTTAATATTAACTAAATACTAATGCAAAAAGCAGAATAAAGACAGAAACATTTTGGTTTGAATTTCAATAAATGCAAACATTCTATATAATCAGAAAAAAAAACAGAATTTTGGAAACACTATCCAAGCCAGAACATACATTAATAGTGGTGCTGATTAAAAGACATCAATTTATGCAAAATAAACCAAAAGGGATGATTTACATTTCTAGATATTGAAGAATGCAGTAATTAACAGTTACATGACTGGGAATGAGGGTCAGGAGAAGTTTGAATTGAGGAAGGATGAGGAAGACATAAAGTGGAAGTTATAGACAGGAGTTTGGAAGCAGGGCAAGTGTTACTAAGATTAATGAATAAGTTGATGCTAGCAGCCTAACAAGTAGGTCATCCCACCCATGATCTTAATATCAACAAGAGCAGGCAGTCTAGATATTAAAACCCAGTTCAAATCAATATATTGTTAGGTCAATTAATAGTGTCATGGCCTCAGATACCTCAGAAATGCAACTCTTCCTGCACTATATAATGCTAAAAATAACTACCATGTGTTCTGGCAATTTCATCCTTACTAACTAACAAAGCTATCATTAGCATATGACAAAGTAAATGTGTAAAAACAATAAAGATGCAACCCGGATGCGTCTGGACGTGGACTGTGCAGCATCATTCCCCCCTCCATAAATCCATTTACTGGAACTCTTCCCAGCAACCACATTCCAAGGGTGTGTGACTCATCGGTGGTTGTAAGAACTGGAGTATAGAACCACAGGTGTTAATAGGCCTTATCAATGAAGATACTGGAATCCTCCACTATGAATCTAGAGGTGTCTTTTATTGTTTATTTTTAAAGACTGATATTTTATGAGATACATCATCCATCTGACAATCCTTTCTTTGTTGTGTTTCTTTGTTTTTGGGTTCCTACTTTGGTTTTCACATTCCTTAACCCCTTAGTGACCAGACCGATTTTCAATTTTCTTGCCATTAAGAACCAGGGCTGTTTTTACATTTCTGCGGTGTTTGTGTTTAGCTGTAATTTTCCTTTTACTCATTAACTGTACCCGCACATATTATCAGGGCTGGATTAACATAGGGGCTGATGGAGCTGCAGATCCAGGCCCAGGCCCATGGAATAGGCCCATTTAAAAAAAAAAAATTATAATAACTTTTTAAAAATTTTTTACTACTCTTAGGTTTGCCACCTGACTGGTATTTAAAGGCATAGACGGTATTTGGGGCTGCCTGGCTGTGCCGGTATTGCAATAATACCGGCAATACAAATACAAATATTTTTCTCAGTATAAACGGAGATTACTCTGCAATACCAGTACTGGCCAGTAGGTATGGAGAGAGGCAGGCATAGCAAGTTACTGCATCTCCCTCCCTGCCTCTCTCGATTCACTGATCCACAGGGGAGCAGCTACACAGCACAGAGAGTCCAAACAGCAGCTCGCAGCCTGCAGAGACAGACTACAGCTCAGGTATTTGAAGGGGGGGGAGGCAGCAGGGAGACATGGGGACACTGAGACACTAGGGGACACATGGGGACACTGAGACACTAGGGGAAACTGGGAGACGTGGGGACACAGACACTAGGGGACACTGTGAGACATGGGGACGCTGAGACACATGTGTCTCCATGTCTCCCAGCCAGTGTCCCTAGTGTCTCAGTGTCCCCATGTCTCCCAGTGTCTGTGTCCCTATGTCTCTGTGTTCCTAGTGTCCCATGTCTCCCAGTGTCCCCAAATGTCTCAGTGTCACCATGTCTTCCAGTATCCTCATGTCTATGTCCACAAGTGCCCAATGTCTCCCAGTGTTCCCAAGTGTCTGTGTCCCCATGCTTCCCAGCCAGTGTCCCTAGTGCCTCAGTGTCCCCATGTCTCCCAGTGTCCTCTAGTCTCCCAGTGTCTGTGCTCCCATGTCTCTCAGTGTCCCTAGTGTCTTAGTTTCCCCAAATGTCTGTGTACCCATGTCTCCCAGTGTCTGTGTCCCCATATCTCTGTCTCCCTAGTGTCTGTGACCACATTTCTCCCAATGTCCACAAGTGTCTCAGTGTCCTCATGTCTCCCAGTGTCCCCATGTCTTTATCCACAAGTGCCCCCATGTCTCCCAGTGTCCCCAAGTGTCTCAGTGCCCCCACGTCTCCCAGTGTCCCCAAGTGTCTTAGTGTCCCCATGTCTCTCAGTGTCCCCATGTCTCCCAGTGTCCCCTAGTCTCCCAGTGTCTGTGTTCCCATGTCTCTCAGTGTCCCTAGTGTCTTAGTTTCCCAAAATGTCTGTGTTCCCATGTCTCCCAGTGTCTGTGTCCCCATGTCTCTGTCTCCCTAGTGTCTGTGACCACATTTCTCCCAGTGTCCACAAATGTCTGTGTCCCATGTCTCCCAGTGTCCCCATGTCTTTATCCACAAGTGCCCCCTTGTCTCCCAGTGTCCCCAAGTGTCCCAGTGCCCCCATGTCTCCCAGTGTCCCCAGGTGTCTCAGTGTCCCCCTGTCTCACTGTGTCCCCATGTCTCTAGTGTCCCCTAGTATCCTAGTGACACGGGACACACTGAGACATGGGGACACTGGGAGAAATGGGGACACAGACACTGGGAGACTAGGGGACTGGGTGACATGGGCACACTGATGCCAGGCTGGCCTTCCAATTCTTTGGACAGACATGCCCTCTTTTTGGGCATATTCACCCCTTTTGGCAGTTCCGGTCACTTGATTCGCATCAGTGGCCCACTCTCAGGGGCGGGCTGGGCTGGGGGGGGCAGGGAGCCAATTGCCCCCCAGGCCACCCTAAAATCTTGTAAGACCGGCCGTGGCGGGCCGGCCCTTTAAATACTGCAGCCGCCTGAGCGCTCTGTTAAGAGCCTCAGGCGGCTGCAGCTGCTTCTCCCCTCCCCTGTAGTGTGGCCAAGCTGCACTCCGGTCCGCGGTGGCCGGCCGGAGCGATAGGAAGGTGCACACTGAGTGTGCATTTCCTGTCAGTCCGGCCGGTTACAGGAAACAGAAACTCCTGTTCCGCGCGGAGTTTCTGTTTCCTGTAACCGGCCAGACTGACAGGAAGTGCACACTCAGTGTGCACCTTCCTATTACTCCGGCCGGCCACCGCGGACCGGAGTGCAG